TGGCCTAGGGAGAATTTTAAATAGGGACAATTTTAATTAGAATTTTAATGGTAACACAGCGGTAAATATTTGTTTTTAATTGGTTTTTATTGGGGATAGTGTTTGTATCGTTTTAATATGCTGTAAGCCGCCCTGAGTCCTGTTGGGAGAAGGGCGGCATATAAGTTTAATAAAATAAATAAATAAATAAATAAATAATAGTCTCAAGACCTGCTCCCGCCACCTCCCCCGGGGCCACCCAGTCGGAGTCCAAACCCTCTCGGATCCGAGCGACTTTGTCATACAGATATTGTGCAAAATCCTCAGCCCTCCCCACCAGGGGGTCCCCCCCCCTCAATTGAAGGAGGGAGCGGGTCACCCTGAAGAGGGTGGCCGGGCGGTTATCTGATGACGCAATGAGGGTGGAGTAGTAATTAGACCTCGCCACCCTCATTGCCACAAGGTAGGATCTAACATGTATCCTTACCTGTGTTCGGTCGGATTCGGTTCGGGTAGCCCTCCAATACCTATAAAATTGGGGGAAAAAATATTGGATGAACTAAATATAGCTTGAAATTAATTTGCCAAGGAAAAAAAGCCAGAATTAGATTGAAAACGCTACAATAAGCTAAAGAAAATGGAGGATTTGGGCTGCCAGATTGTGCCCTATACTATCAAGCATCTGCACTAACATGGATAAAAGAATGGATAACCGTTAGACATAAAAGATTAGTATACCTAGAAGGGCATGATCTGCAACTTGGATTTCATGCCTTCCTATGGTATGGGAAGAATAAAATTCATAGATACTGACATGGTTCCGAAAAGAAGCAGCTTTACAAAGAACTTTGAGGCTTGATTACCTTAAAGAATCCTTTAATTGGCTACATAGTTTCTGCACGAACAATAGAAAGCCAAAAACTGAAACCCCCACCACCCAAGCACTCGTGACAACAACTCCCTCCCTCCTTTCACAGTCATCAATCATATGCTCCAATTAATTTGAAGTGTGAATCTCTCCCTCCCTAGTTTCCCCTGTTACGCTGACCTTGGCTGTGCTATGCAAAGATATTGTTATGATTATAGCTGGCATACTTTCCCACTGACTGGGTTAACATTGTCTGCTTTAACTCTTGAAGTGATATGTAGGCT